GCGATGCCAAGTGCGTGTCTCCATGAGACGTAAAACATCTATAGAGAGGAAGCTGCGAAGCCATATGATCTCTGCACGACGCAGGGCGTCGACCCTGACCCACGGTGTGTCTACCGTAGACGATAGCGCACAGCGATATACCCTTGTCAGCGGTATATCGGGAGAGGAAGACGGCGATGTCATTCTCGAGACTATTTCGCGGTGAATACTCTTCTTGAGCTAGACGAGATGTCCTTCAAAATGTTTGGCGGTGCCTTGCAGGCAAGCAATTTAGCCGAGGTGGTAATCATAAGATCGAACGAGGAGATGAACTCGTCGTCGCTTCTGGAAGAAACTGTCCAAGAATACACTAAGAGGTGCTGAACGTACAAAGTGGATCGTCGATCCTGAAGGGTCCCTTGGATCCATACTATCCTTTGGTGGCTGAACTTCAAGACGTCGACCCCAAAGACCCTCCGTCGGTCGTACCTCCGACCGAGGTGTGCGTCTTAGATGATGTCCTAAGGGCTGTCAAATGCATTAGCAACGTTTAATCGTCTTGTGACGCAATTGTTCAGGTTCCACCGGGCGTATCCACAGACATAAATGTCTACATCTTCTTTCACAGTTGTGCGGGGCAAAAGAGGACAGATGAGAAAGACCACATCGTCCGTTCGAGAGCGGTGCTCGAGTATATGCGCACAAATTAGCTGTATGCTAATGTTGATAAGTGCATCTTCGGCACGGAAGAATTTTTCGGGTGTTGCATTGGGAAGCATGACCTTCGAGCAAATTTCTCTAAGGTTAAGCCCATTGTGGACTGTCCGATTCCAAAGAATCGAAAGAACTTGCGCAAATTATGCGGAATTGGCCAGGCAGCTGTCGAATCTTCTTAAAGAGAAGCGGAATGGTGTTGGGACACCGAGCGTCGGGGGGCTTTTGACAGGGTCAAAGACTGCCTCCATCATGCACCAATACTGGCGTTGTCAGACCCCGATCGTTCTTTTGGTGCCGTCTGTGACGCTTCGGACTTTGATATCGTCTGTGCACTGCTGCAGGTAGACGCTGAGGGGCGGGACCGGGTAATCGCGTTTGAATCTCGCCAGCTTAAGGCTGTGGAGAGGAACTACTCAGTCCACTACATGGAATTACTTGCGATGATGTATGCCCTTGTCAAATTCACGGTGCACCTGCTCGGCTCAAAGCCGTTTGTGATCTACAAGGATCATGCATCAACACGCACTGCGACTCAGTCGCCTCACCCCTCACAAAAGTTGGCCAGGTGGCTCTCCTTCTTCGCAGTATATAACTTCGAGGTAGAGTATAAGCCAGAAAGATGCGTTGTCTTGCAGTCCAGATTATAAGCTTGCCATGTCACGATGATGACGTCGTCAGTGACTAACTTGATCCACGCCGCATACGCGGGTGATGATATGTGTATAGCACTGCTTCAGGCTCTCAGGGGCAAGGAGTTGAAAACTCCGACTGCGCGCACGGTTGAACCGATATTCGATAAATATTGGATTACACCGACTCAACGGATATGCCACAAATTGTGGTCCCTCGCGATGAGAAATTGAAGTGCCGTATTGTCTATGAGGCTCACGACACCCCACCTAGTGGTCATCTTGGTTGTGGAGGATTTACAGATCTCTGAGTCGCCACTACTGGTGGCCCAAGCTGTACAAATGGATGAGCACATGTGTGCGCGTTTGAGACTTGTCGGAGGGTGAAACCCTCTCCGAATGCGGCGACACCGCTGGCACTCCAGGTGTTGGCAGTCCATGAGTATGGACTTTGTGTTTGGTCTGCCGAAGGATTAGGCGGGCAACACGGGTGTGGTGATCTTTGTGGACCGTTTGCGCAAGATGGCTACCATCGATTGTGTGTGTACAGCGACGCTATTTGTCGATCGTGTCTTTCAACAGCATGGACTAGCGAAGTCTATTGTCTCTGATAGAGACTGCGCTTCACTAGAAAGTTTTGGTCTACAATCTTCAGGGTGCTGGTCACCATGTTGACTATGTCAACAGCGGACCATCCGCGGACCGATTATCAGACTGAGCGCGTGAATCGCGTCGTTGAAGACGTTGTAAGCAGCGTCTGCGCTGAGATACCGAAGCGCTGGATCGTCATGCTGCAACTTGCAGAGTTTGCTCTGAACCTGAGCGTGTGTCTACTGACTATGCGTCGTTTTGCGTGAACGGGCTCGTTCATCCTCGCGTCCAGCTGATGCCGCCATTCCATGGCTCAGGGCTTGGTGCCGTTCGGCTAACTGGTATCAGCCCCCTCACTATCTGTAAAGATGAACTTCTGTCTACCAGACTCAGTGTCTTACGACACGTTCGCGATGCGATGACTGAAAGCCAAGACATGCAGTAGGAATATGCAGACGGAAAAGGAAGAAAAAATGCTAAAAACATTGAGGTCGAAGACCTGGGTTTATTTAATGCTAAAAACATTCCTACACATGCAGTTTCTGCTGTCTTTAAGACGAAGCTCCATCCGCGATTTGTTGGACCTTTTAGAATTGCGGCCAAGCGAGGCCGTGCGTACACGCTGAACCTCCCAAAAAGGATGCGTATCCAGCCGGTTTTTTGTGAGCCATTCATGAGGATGTGATCGCAACCGTATCTGTGCGAGGTCGAAGATCAAACTGTACTGATGAGGACAAATAATGAGACCCGATGGGCTGTTAGCCTCACGTAGTGCATGCGTTTGATTTTTTTTGCTGAACATAGTAAAGGATATATACAAACATATATCTTTAGATAGAAGAGCAAGCCAGGTATCTTATCTTTCGAAAGGTTCTCGGTTCCGCTCCCGGAAGAAGTATACGAAGCTATGGGTTCTTGACTTCTGAACTCAGTCCGTCAGTTCTGGCATTCCGACGGAGACGAGAATCTGGCGCACTCGATACGGTCAAACAGACGGTACAAACACCCACGACAATTGTTGCTCTAAAGCATACCACATTTGTAGCGTCTCTCTTACCGGTGTATTAAACGTACGTGCTCATTCCCGCGTGCTCCTAGCATGAGGATCGCAAGCTTGACGAGATGTTGCTTTGGTTGAAGCAAGACTTTATCGCACTGGCTTCTCAGTTAGCGTTTACTTATGCGCAGTGTCGTAAAAATTGTTAACCTCAGTGTGGCCCACTACTTATATATGTATGGGGGGGGTAAATGGGACAGATAATGTAATCTTGTGTACTTACAGCTTAAACAGCTGGTATAGTTATAGTATAGTTATACGATATTCACAATACACTTGGCGTAAATTTCAGTATTCATAAGTACGAAAATGACGTGATTGATCAAGATTGCAAAACTCCGAAAAATAAGGAATTTAGGAACACATGGGCTGCTAGCTGTTGATCACATACTAAAAAAAGTATCATGATAGATTTTTAGGGACATATTTATTTTAAGTCGAAAAAAGGTATTTCTAAATATATGCACTCTTTAGATAGCAGTGCTAGCTTCTAGCTATCTTAATTTCGCTCTGACGAAAGTCCACAAATCTAGGTTTTGAGCGGTCGAAATAGCGTTTCTAAGATTCAAAATCTCTATCGAGAAAAGTACACAGCAACTTTGCTGCATAACAAACACATGGAGGGTTTATGCGCTCTTACAACATTTGGAATTTATCTTCTTAGCCGTTACTATCGTCTTATTATCTCTTATGATGAAAATGTCTTTATTTCCTGACTCGCAGCTGTCAGCCCACCTTACATCACTTCATACTTTAAACTCTTATAAATATTCACAGTTACACCTAGAAGCAATCTACAATTGTATTTGACACAATTGTACTAAAAATGTGTAAGGTTTAAGTATACAAGTTTTCAATACTCGGCCCGTTACATGCTTACCACTTTCCAGACATTGACACGCCGATCTGCAAACAACCGGCTCCTTTACAAGCAAAATGAAGACGATCAACGCGAAGGGTGGTGCCGCGGAATTGCCGCGCAGAAGAAGATTTGACCCTCAGAATCTGCGCGAACTTACGTAGGGAGACCAGGTTTGTCAAGCACCATCCGGGTGTCAAACTAAGTGTTTCTTAAGTAGCCAGTACTTCCTTTGCTCAAGATATAAGTTGATTGAACAAGCCAACTCTCATCATATAAAAATCAAAATGATACAACCCATCATTATTTATATTTTCTAGATTGTAATCAGGTCGAACAACACACGCCACTCAATAAATACATCATTGCCAATTTTACCAAACAGAGTCAAGCTAGTTGCAGTCAAAAGTGTCGCGGATCCGTTCTCGTTACACGTGGTAGCTGTTGGAAGTTGGGCGTTAACCTAATTATTCAATACTTCCCAATCAACACGTCTACTAAAAGGGGTGATTTATAGCAACGACCACCAATAGACGAGATTTTAAAGGGCAATAACTGCGTACCTGAAGCTAGAATAAACCACTTAATGAGCTCAGCTAGCACAATGGAGCGACGCCTGACTACGTCAGCGAAGCTTATATTGATAACGTGGTGATGCCTACATGGGACCACAAACAATCTGGCAAGCCGAGCAAGATTCAGACTCGAATGGTAGCGTGCTCTGCGAGCAACAGAGATTGGGATCGTGACTTGACAACGTCGGACAAGGCGTTTGAAGTCGCCACCGCCAGCATTAACGGTACTGGCTGAGGTGACATCTGGGCTCCAGAAATGCTGCAGATGGGTATCAAGCCAAGGCAATGAGATCACTGTGCTTCAGCCTTCGCGTCAGAAGAGTCAAGGTTTAAAAGACAGTGGCTGACCGAGATAAGCATAGATGTAAGCGTTGCTGCACGTTCATGCAGCAGCTTTCATCGCCTCCACCTTGAGCCTTTCTTCCGTCGCAGCATATTCAGCAAGCAAACACATGAAGTTAGAGATCGAGAGGATTCAGCTTTAGGATAAACTAAAATGCCTGCAATATCTACAAAAGCAGCACGAAGTTATATTACAAGAAAATCGGTAGCCGCAGACTCAGAGCCAATAGAGACCCAACTCCGTTTGCAAAATGAGGGTGGAGGCGATGTTTGATTTGTTGATGGTCCCGAATATGAAAGATAGCATGCTTAACGTGCAGCCGTTCGTTGGTATCGGGTACATTGCGGGCTTCGTTCTGGTCTCGTCCAATAAAGGAGAAAGAATTTGGTTCATATCGACGTAGACGAGCATACCTGCCGCTATCGGTAGACACACATGTACAGGACGGCGTGACCTTGCGACTTCTGTGCGGGAAGGTCACGCGCTCTTAAAATAATCGGGTCAACAGCCAGCTCATGACAGACCCTTTGCTCGAATTCGCCATGATTAAACTTGAAGTCGCGTACTTAAATTGCACTTTTTGACACAGGAGGTTGTGAATTGTTTTCAGCAAGGAACTTATCGACCGTAGCTGGAGTTTTTATTTGCGTTGTTAAGTTGCATTTTTGAAGGCTACAATGTCCGGATCTGAGTTGTTCTCGAGAGTGTGCTTTCGTTCACCTGTCCCGACGGGAAGACCGTACTTTTGTTTAAATTTGACGCTGAATGTCTCGAATTTTTGGCGCACGTTGAGAACCTTGTGGTATATGTTCTGGCGATCGAGAATGGTAGCCACGCAAACCGCGCTATCGTTTGATCACGCTCACAAAAATTCACTAGTTGTCTGATTGCGACGACGTCGGAAACTTGTCGTACGATTCGATGGACCTCACTTTGGCTGCAGAATTGTCCAGTGTACACTATGGCTATCTCAAACCACTATCTTGACACGGAAGGTTAGCGGCGCTTATCGGCATTAAGTAAGTATTACCAATCGTCTCGATGAGGCACAGGAGTAGAGGTGGGAGGCTGTCCACAGGGCAGCTCTCATGTTCGAACTTAGACCCTCGCGTGAATCGGCTTCCGCTCGGCGAATCCCGATACTGAAACGAAGGACGCGATCGCTCGATCGCTAGGCGTCTACGTAGTCAGCCCTCCGGCCACTACACAAGCTGAGCTTGATCAGCGAAAGCTCTACGAGCTTGCTTTTTGAACCCCAAGAGATCCCAACGGATAGGTACCGCGCCCGACGTTGAGTTCAACAAGGAAGTGCTCCTGTTCCCGCAATGCGAACCATCCCTGTGGTGCTCACCCCTGGCGAAACCACTCCCGATGACGAGGAGAGCTTTGAGCAATGGGCGCAGAGGGGTGAAGCGAGCGCCAAAGCGAGAGTCATTTGGACCAGCAAGTGGATGCTGACCTGACAGTCCAGGTATATTAAGATGGTCATTTATGATCATCAAGTCTCCCAAGTTAAGATCTGGGTTTAATTCACCGGCAGCATTTGTTACTAAAAGGTACTTGATACCTAGCAGATACATGACGCGAATAGGCAGTGCCGTCTCGCGCATAGCATAACCCTCGTAACAGTGAAAGCGACCGCGTATACACACAACATGGATACCGTCCAGGTCACAAAAGACTAATTTGCCGGCATGGCCTTCAACAGTGGAGCAAGGAATCCCTGGAATGTTCTCATACCAAATCACCTCTTGGTTCTCGAGACATCTACTGAGTCCCCCGAGACCAGATCCACAC